AGCTATCTAACCAATTTCGATAAATTCTTTTTATTTAAATTCTATAATTATGTAGAATTTGAATAAAAAAATTTTTGTCAAAATTGGTTAGATGGTTGTCTGGTCAATCATATTGAGTGCTTGAGTAAGTAATGATAATTAAAATAACTGATATTTTACCTAAAGAAAACTTGACAAAAACTCAACAGACTTTGAAGATTAAAGGTTTTGAGTCATTGGTATATTAGAATTCATGAACTTCTTTTTTTTTTAAAAAAAAAAATGAAAATAGTAAAATTTATAGTTATAAAATGCATTTTTAAATTAAAATTACAATAATTTTAAAATTACTTTTTTAATAAAGAACTACTATGATCCTATTATGATATATGAAAGTATTATCATTTTTATTAAATCAATTGTATATATATTATTATAGCAGAGACAGTGCCCGATCCAAAGTGAATCCCTCTTGCCTGTGATCAATTACAAATTAAATTATTTATGTTGAATTCAATTGTGATGAATATAATCCCTCATCAGTTTTAACATTAATAGTCTTTGCTGTAACATATTATACATTTTGTTCTGAGCTTTTTGATCATGTCCCATTTTGTCTCCGTCTCCTAATTCTTACTTATTAACTATCTCAAAAATAATATAAATAAATTTATTCATTTAAATGCTTAAAGCAAGTTATAGAAAACAGACATGTGCACTATGTATAATGGGAATTGTAATTGTAGTATAAATATATTTTGTCAGAGTTAATGATTATGATGTATTAAATTAAAATTTAAATAATTATACGTAAATATTGTTAAATAGTAAGAATGACATATTGGTAATGTGTGAAAAATAATGCAATAAAGGGAATCGGCATTTGCAAAAGAATAATAAGAAATTATATTTACATAGTAGGAATTGGCATTATTAGATAATAATTATGCAATAAGTACATAGTGATAAAGAATTGCATAATAAGAAAAAATGATCGGATATGATATTTGTAATTTTCGCTTAACAATATAGCAATTATATAATAGAATTACTTACCTTGTAATTTAATCTCTATTAGTCTTGATTTCTTATAAATATAAATAAATCAGTATCGTATTTTGCAAGATAAAGTAATTGAATATAAAGTTTCATATATTTGGTTTTTGTAAAACTACCACATAACATTATACAAATACAATATTCAAAGAAAATAAGTTTCTTTACTAATCTTGGTATAATATCTAGTCAAGACCTTACTCAAAACCTTACACAAAACCTTACTAAAAAAATGTGTAATAGTTGTTATATAAAAAAAGAAACTATCTATTTTTGTTGCTCTTCACTAACAGTTCACAATATGAATTTGCTACATATAACAAATGTTCCGAGAGAATAAAGAATAAATGGCAAGAAAAAAAAATTATTACATCAATAAATCAAAAAACAACCCAAAGTAGTAGCAATATTACTGATGCATCAAGTATAAGCAGTGATTTACAAATTATTGAGAGTATAGATTTTGCTAATGATCTTCTAGAAGTGGTGCCATATGAGAGTTTTAATACTGAAGATAATAATCAGAAAAATAAAAATAATAGTGACTAGGATAAAGATAATAGTGACCAGAATAAAGATAGTGATCAGAATAAAGATAGTGACTAGGATAAAGATAGTGATCAGGATAAAGATAGTGACCAGAATGAAGATAGCAATCAGGAGGATAAAGATAGTGATAATTTTAAAGCACTCTTATATGGTTTAAATAAAATATATGAAATTACTTCAAAGATATTTGAAGATGCAAAAGAATCTAATGAGTTAGTAAAATTCATCTTTGAGGTTGAGTTAGATGAAGATCTAATTAATACTGTTGCTTTAACTCAACAAGATTTAGTTAATATAAATGATTTAAAAATAGTTAAAGAAAGATTTAATCAGCTTGCTAAAATACTTGCCATACCACTAGACTCTGGCTCCGGCTATTATTGGGAAATAAGAAAAACATGGTTAAAAAGTTATAAAAAAAATTTACAGGTTCTGCTACAGTACATCTCTGCTGTACAATGCGAGATGATAGAGCTTGGAAAAGGCCAAATAACCAGCTACCCAAATGGCATAGTAAAGCCAGAACCCCAATAAATAGATATAATTGTGCAGAAAAAATCAAACTTACCATAATCTCAGAAAATAAATATGTTCTTGTATAAGGGAATCATAATATAGTGCATGAGAATCCAACATATCATCGAGTTAAGTTTCCTGTAAATGCAAAAGAATGGATTCAAAATAATATTTTATTATATAATTTGCTAAGTACAGAAGTTTATCATCGACTCTGTACAGATAAATTAATCAATCCAGAGATTCATATAACTGAGCAAGTATACTATTGGGTATCTGCACTCAATAGAGAAACCTATATAAAAAATCAAGAAAATTCATTTTTATCAGCAAAAATATATCTTGAACAACTAAACTTAAATAATAAAGAATTTAAAGTTCTAAATTATTTAGAAAATGATTTCATACGAGCTTTGGGTTTTCTTACACCACTCTTTAAGCTTGTTGGTATCAATGAAGCTACTGAAATAATTGTAAATTTCATCTTCAAGACTAATCAAGAACGATTTGAACTTTTCGTAATAAATATAAATTGTGGTGGATATGGTATGCCAATAGCATATTTGTATCTTATAACATTGGATGGTAGTGAAGAAACTCGACATGATTCTAGAAACTTTATAAACACTTAAGTAAGAGTAATACGAATGTTTTTTACAAGTCTTAGACAGGAAGGATTGCTATCAGTATTTATTTTGATAGACAAAGATGCGGGTAAAATATCAGCAGCTCAGGAAGCTTGGTCATCAATAGCTAATATCCAACTCTGTTGCTGACATGTCAAGCAAACTATTAATAAAAAAATTAAAGAAAAAAAAATTAAAGCAAATACATATTCATCAAATAAAGCATTGGAAGCACATCATAAGTTTGAGTTTATAGACCCATCATGAATTCAAAGTAGCACTAAATCTCTTTGTTCAGATAATCTAATTAAACAACTTTTAAAGTTAGTTAAACAACATGCAATTATGCATCCGCTTATTCCAGTAACCAAGGAGTCTTTTATAAATTCACAAGAGATTTACCGTTCCTGTATTCAAGAAATATACCAATTTTGTCATTCAAATAACCTTGCTAAACTATGGAGTTATTTGTGGACTAATTGGTATAATAAAAAAGACTGGAAGTTATTTTCTCAGTCTTTATATTCACAGGCTATACTTTTTGCAAGCACAACAATAATTACTGAAAGCCATTGCCAAGTTTTAAAATATAACTATAAATATAACTATAATCATCCTCACATAGATTAACTTACTCAAATAATAGCTGAGCAGCTTATTCCAGACTTCGAAATTAAATTAACACAATATAAAGGGAATAGAATTTTTTTATCATGGTGGCATGAGTTTAAAGCCGATTGGATTAAGGCTGCAAAAGCAAAAATTCAACCAAATGCAAATGAAAAATATTATATTAATTTTAATCACTAAGTATGTTCTTGTCCAGCTTATTTTTACAGTCATTTTCATCTCTGTAAACATCTTGTTCATGAAAAAAATGAAAAAAAGTTTATACTTAAATTTTCAAAAACATCAAGATGACATGATCATCCTTTATTTGTTTTTAAAAAAAATGAATTATCATTAATTATGCCTATAAATAACCTATAGATTTGGTTTGGTATGACATTTGCAAAAAACAACTCTATTGAAGAGACTAATGTCAATTTACAAAACCCACAAAATATATTAGTAGAAACACATAATGATATAATTAAAAAAAGACAAGCAAAATATATAAATTATAAAAAAAAATTCAAAATAGCTTTAACCTTATATAAACGTGAGTTAGATAATGATAAGTTTATAACCAATTTTAATACTCTAGTAATGCCCTTTTTGAAAGAAATTGATAAATGTGAAGAAGTATTACAAAGTCTTCATCAACAAAAGACTTGGATATCAGAAAACTCAAAGCTTGCATTTTAGTTACACTAATATAATTTTATTTTTATTTAGAATAACTTAGTAAAACTAATGCAGTATACAGTATTATTTATGTTTATTTTTATTATATAAGGTGGAGTAAGGTATTTTGGCACAGAAAGTAATGTGGCGCATTGGAGTTTTTTAAAATATCTTGAGATACACTAATCAAAATCAATAAATTTTAGTATCATTCGATTCATCTTACTGAGATGAATCAAATAATATAAAATTTTTTTGATTTCTAATTGCTAAAACACAAAATATAAGTAAAAGTTGATATTTCTTATGACAGTATTAAGTTTTTTTTAATTTTTCCTCATTTGGATAATGTTTAGAGGAAGGATGCAGTAATACAATACAAAACATATAGTGATACATAGTGTGCCATAATATCCTCAAATGTAAAAAACATAGCATTTTTTGAGTAGACTTTGAAAGCTTATATTTTAACCTTTTTTTGTTTTAAAAGTCTATTTTTTTTTTATAATTAGTTAGTAAATTGATAATTATTTTATTTCGCTAAATTTTAAAAATAAATATTAATTTATAAAAATTTAATTGGCAATGCAGCTTAGGTGCACCAGAATACCCTACTTTACCTTAGACTATATAAATTTAGAATTAAGTACAGGATTTAAAAATTATAGTCTTTAAGCATCATTCTATATTTTTATTAATATGCCAAAAATTTCACAAAATATAAAAAATAGATACTGATACTGTAAAATTGTAAAATCATTATTTAATATGATTGGTTTATATTGTATCACAAATGATCTACAACATGTGATCCAGACATTTTTCTTTGCCATGGCTAGGGTACTGTGACCTTTCTGAACCTATCGGAAGCCTTATACGTAACAAATTAACTGTTATATAATCAATACCGATACTGATATGTAATCAGCATCAGTGTATAAAATCTATGTGCACAATGTGCTCAGAGCACTTTTTTTAATAAAACTTCACATATTTTTAGCTAGGAATGTGCACATGTTCACAAATTTTTTGACTACATAGTGCACTAATATTATTATTAAATTTTAGCTAGTTATAATCTAACTTTTTTATTTGCTTTCTGGTTAGAGTTTCATGATCTTAAAAAGTTATTAGTTAACTTATTAAAAATAAATAAAAATTTTAAAAATTTTATTTGTTTTGAAATTTCAAAATTAAATATAGAATTTGAAAAAAAATTATAAAGTATTATTATATAAATACACTTATTTATTGTGCAAACTCTTATAATTATAAATTTTTTTGTTATTTTTTGTATGTTATTATATAAGCATAACAATTCTAAATTAAAACTCAGTTAGACTTGTAAATTATGAACATAATTGTACTATAACATTAATATTGGATTATTCAATAATAAATATCAAAATTTATTTTGTTGAAGCAAATAATTAGCTAAAATATGTTATATATCAACTAATTATTTACTTTGACAAATAAATTTCATAATATTAATTGTTGTATGACCAATATTTTATACTTATAAATTATTAATTAATTTCTTTTTTTTTTTTTTTTTTTTTTTTTTTTTTTTTTTTTTAGGCCGTAGTTTTTTGTGGCTTTTTCCTTTTTTTTTTTTTTATTTTTTTTTTTAAAATTTTATTTTTTT